ACACACAACACTCTCTCTCTCTCGAACAAGGCAAGAGCAGCAGCCGGCCCCGGTGAGGACCCCAACTTGGGAACGACCCTGGCACAGGGGACAGCTAGTTAATGAGCCGCGTAATTAAACGCTGGCTAGGTGGCGCGAAATGCCGTCCAATTCCAAATTTCAGCCGTATTCATTCATTGTTTGAAATATACTGGCTAGGTGGCGCACGTTGCCACCCAATACAAAATGTTCAGCCATATTAATTTATTGTTTGAAATACATTGACTAGGTGGCGCGAGCCGTGGCTCAATTCGAAGGATGTAGCCGCATTGAACGATTGTTCGAAATACACTGGCTGGAAGCGGAAGTTGCCGCTAAATTCGAAGGGTTCAGCTGTACTCCTTCATCGTACGAAATACATTCGCGGCGTGGAGCACGCTGCCGCCCGATTCGGAAGGTTCAGCCGTATTCATACATCGTTCGAAATACACTGGCTATGTAGCGCATCTTGACGCCAAATTCGAAGAGTTCAGCCGTCCATTGCAATGCAACCAAGAGCTCAAAGGCCGCCTGGTTAACGTGAACTATAGACCAACAGATGTTTCTGACACTGCATCTGATGCCATACGGCGCATCTGCAGAGGTTTTGCTCTCAAATAATAGGTTCCTGCGCAGACGCAGTATCCATTCAGCTCCAATAGGGAAAAGCACTTGCCCGCAAACAGCGAGTCGCTGTGTACTTCGAAGTGCCTTAAAGTCAACCACGGCGAATCCTACGAACCGTTTAGCCCAGTCCCATGCCATGCTATCTCGACTTCCACACATCGCTGCCCCCGATGTCAAAATCCCCAGCCGCGCTGTCGGTGTTAGAATTATTTGGTTGACCCGTAGTCCACCACAAGGTGAGACGGAGTAGGGGGTGTTAAAGGCTACCTACCGTGACACGACATTCCCCATTTTTCTCAAATTTTCTTTACCCCCCTCCCCCACCCCCAAAAAAAAAACAAAAACAAAAAAAAAAAAAACCTTGGACATGATAAGCCACGTATTGCTTTCCTTAAGCTGTTAGTGCCTACAGTTCAGCAAAACTGCCTGATTAACTTGGAGAACCGAGGACCCGAGGACGTCTGAAACCCTCGGTAATCACAATCCGTGAACTTAAGCGAATGTCGCGATTTATATTAGCAGCCTCCATCGGTACTTGTGCGATTGAAAACCCTACCAATACCTTAAAAAGTTTTGCGAAGGCTATCCATCACGCTCTTCTTAAAGTGCCATTTGCCCAGTTAACGCAGACGACAAAAACGTAAGTCCCATTTCTCAATATGCTCTTGCCACTGCTATAACTTCGCCAATGTTTTCAAAAATGAAACTGTCTCAAATGAGAGTCTGGTTCAATTTGTGACAAGCCAAAATGCCTAAACGTGCAACAAGGTGTTGGCGTGGTGCCAATTGACCCGGTTTTACCGGCTTCTAATTCAAAATCGCGTGCATAAGGTTGGAAAGGTACTTAGGCTAGGTTCTGTCCATAAATTCTCCACTGAATTACCGATAGTGAGGACAGAGACCTACCCTTTCCTAGTCCCTTCTCCATCTGTCTACAACCCTTACCGGACGCTCGTTTCCCTCCAGTGGCCGACTCAATCATCAGTAAGACCCTTCTATAGGATTTATGGCCTATTCCGACGAGGCGAATCAAACCAGCAATCATAAACGCTGGCCAACATAAGAAACATATCTTTTCGGCAACCTGAGGAAACAGATTATATTTTGCAAGGTTTGCGAAGAGTCTTTCTCGAATGTTCGTCTAGATATATCTAGGCCATCAAAAAGAAAAGAATTACCACCAGTGCCTCGACGTCTTTGAGTCCCTTGACATTAGTGATTAATGAGACAATGGTAGGGAGGCTATTGCATAATCAACTAAATCCCTCGAATGAGCCATCTTGGCAAATAATTATGCTCTCCGTAATGAAAGCGTCCTCCCATGAACTAGTTTACGACCGGTAGTCGTAGCGTAGGATGCTTTGACCTTTGTCAATATCGAAACAGCAGAGTCGCCCGTTGGGATCCCTGGGAAAATGATCACAGATAAAACATTCGACAAAACGCTTTCAGAATCGCTTTAAGACTTGTAAGATTACGAATATTGAGCTAATCTGCAGACCATTCTTGCTCAAAACCTGAACCCGCGCTTGTTTTTCCCTCTTCATTGTCAAGTTGCAACAGGTAACATATTCACGTACAGCAAAGAATGGAAGAATCGTCTGATTTCCCCACGCAGGATTTCGTTTCATGGTCCCAATTTAAGCATCTTTATGCTCAACCGCAACCTGCTGAACACTCGTAACTTAGCCATTCTGTGCCTTGCTGCACCACGATGCAGTACGTTTGGCCTTGCGTTGATGGTTTCGAGGGAGTTTTTAAGAATACGGCAGACAACCTGGATAAGGTCGTTCCCAAGGTGGCTTGTTATCAGAACCACGTCAAAACACGCTACACACAAGATACGGTTAGTTCAACAACAACAACAGCAACATGTACAAGAACAACGACCAAGTTCAGGAGGCATGACCAGAAAGGGAAGGGGCAAGAGACTTCCAATGACCACGGAGCAACACGGACGTTCAATACGGTCACGTGATAGAGCAAAGATCAAGAGATAGAGAGAGAGAGAGAAAGAGAGAGAGAGAGAGAGCTAGCAAACGTACCGTGTCAATCACAACAACAACAAGCCCAAGAAGCAGCGCTCTACTTGCGAGCATGCCTCCAGTATGCTAGAGCCGGCGGTGTCACTCACTACGCTAATAAAGACACCCACTCGGCTTTGTTTCTCTAGACAAAATGTCAACACAATCTAAAAGAAATTCTGTGAGCTAACGTTGCTGCAGAACACAAAGACAGTTAATCGCGGCCAACACTAAAGGTATCCGAGCCAACGACAAAGCTCAGAACACGATTAGATTTTAAAAAAAAGTCGAAGTGCGCAGGGTCAACCAACATAATAATTAATTAGATCTTTCTGAGAACATCGCATTTATGTTCGGTCAAATCGTTCTTTTATTCGTCGGGATTGGCTCTCTCCGTGTTCAGCAGAAAGGTAAACTCACAAATGTTTTTTTAGCAACGTTATTATACGCAAACAAGAGGACAAACTACCTATTTCAGGTCCCACACTCTATCTAGAGAAAGTGGGTGCCTGGCTTCTAAGAAGGTGGCGTTGTGAGCCAAAGGAGTGACAGTTCCCAGACATTCCCTGAGCGTGGTTTCGGTGTGTGAAGCAAATTATCTCTACTTTTTTTTTTATTTCCTTCTTATGTTATGATCATAGGAAGCCTAAAAGACGCCGGGCGTGGGGCGAGTCCCTATAATCTTATCATCGCTCCGCAGGCAATGTGATGGCGTAATTAGTCGATAAGAACGCTTAGGAACAAACTGTGCGGCAAGAAGCATGAACACCATAAGCCACGCCATGCCTTTGTTAAGACGTCTCTGGGTATACGGAGTGGAAGTTCGTCTGCTTCTTTTGTGGTGGTTGTGGTGACGTCAGAACGCCGAGCTCCGATTGGCTCTGATTGAAGAATAGTGGGTAGACGTCGAAGCAAGCCGCCTTGAGCTGTGTCCACTATTCTTCAATCAGAGCCAACCAGAGCTCGACGTTTTTCTGACGTCACCTCAACCCCTGCAAACGAAGCAGACGAACTTGCACTTCGCACAGATTCTCAACCCGTTTGTATCCTGGACTAGATTTCCGTTACGGAACGTTTTTTACGCGCGGCACAAACCTGAAGCAAAACTGGAGTTTGCTATCTAGCGTTTTCATTGCGTGTTTTAGGGACGCTGGCTACAACGAATCGACCACAACATTGACAATTGTGCACGCAGTGCAAAGCAATATTAAATAATCTACCTGGACACCGAAAGAAGAGAACAAACTCAGGACAAAGGGACGACGAACTTATCTCATTATGTTCGTTGTCTCTTGTACTGAGTTTCGTCTATTTCTTCTTCTGTCAGCTTTGCCAACACGTTCTGCGGTTAATAATAATAATCTATGTTAACATGGAAGTCTGAAAATAGTATTTTGAAAAGAAAAGAAGCTACGAACAGGGATTAGAAAAAGGGGCCGTTCTTGGGACTTTGACGCATCGGAGCAAGCCCATAGAGAATCCACTATCCTTACAGAGCTACCGGGTAAATATAATAGAACGTGGAGACAACAGTCCTCACCGGTCTAATGCGTTTCCTGAGACTATTTTTGAGTAGATTTGAGCTCAGTACGTCGCGAGCCAACAGACGATTGCCGTGACGTTACAAGATAGTGCTGTTTTTCCTGCTATGTTCATTATGACGTTCACAGCAAGAAATGCGTCACCGCGTTGGTCTTCAGCTAACCCTGCATCATGTTTAAAACAGATCATATTTCACCATAATGAACACTGCTGTCTAGACTTTCCTTAGACGTCGCACGCCACTTAAACGAGAAATAAAACGGGATTTGACACCTCCCCCTTAATTCTACATTACCTAGTGCTAACCTGGGGTTCTTAACGAGCATGCTGTAGTAGTAATACGCGACAGCACGGTAAAAAGTAAGCTCTGGTGCGTGAATCACCCTCGAATGGCGACAAACACAATATTTTAACTAACCTGATGTCTTAAGACGCTTCCTCGGAGAGAAGGAAAACATCTTCCGCAAAAAAGTGATGATCTGATAACAGACCAGAGTTTTTTTATTTTATTTAACTCAAAAAAAGAAATTGACCAGAAAGACACAAAAAGGAATTCAATGCATTCCTTTACTTAGACACGTAGCCTTTTCAGTGCTAAAGATGCTTTGTCTCCAAGAAAACAGTCACCTGTCCTTATTAGGCTACTTTCCTGTTTCGTCTAAACTTGAATCTGACGAATAAAATACACTAACTCGTTCTGAACGGACAAGGTTCGTCTGGGGAATTCGTGTAGGAAAGGATGTCCCTATCTTCCCCAGGCTTCCCTAGCGGGGAAACGCGGGCACCCACCTCGTCGGTCTCGGAGCCGAACAGGAGCAGGTCGAACGGGATGGCGGCCACCACGTCGATGATGAACCAGCCGCGCAGGTAGTGCACGGCAATCTTGCCCGGGTGCGAGACCACTTCGTCGTTAGAGTTGACGTACGTGGTGCGGAAGTTGATCAGGATGTCGATCATAAAGAAGATGTCCACTGCGAGCAACGAAGGCGGCGAAAACTCCGGTCGACAAAACAGCGAACGTCGCATTATACAAAATATTTCCGGAAGAGATGAGGAAAATTGTAAATTCTACAACATGACTAGCCGGAAAAAGAAGCACGGTTCAAAATCGTTACAATTAGTCCCGCGACGTAAATATTGTGAATTTTTTTTTTTTTTTTTTTTAAGTGAAAATGAACTTCGTGACATACAAGTCCTAATCAGACGCTCAAAAAAAAAAAAAAAAAAAAAAAGACTCTTTTCATAGGTTACTGTCTCGTTAAACGCCAAGAGCTTCCTGCAAGTCGTGAAGATCACTCGCGTGCAGTTGGTGAGACACTAGACGCACATTCCGCGCTGTCTTGCCTGTCCTTTAAGCCTCAGTCACACTATCGTACGCAATACGGCTGAAGTAACTGCGGACATGTCTTAAGCATGCTTGAAACATGTTTTGTTTACACAAACGTATACTTTGAGCCAGCGGCGTGGACTTTTCACCTTCCCGGGGGGGGGGGGGGGGGGGGGGGGGGGGGGAAGGGGCAGGTTGAGAAGTTTTCCGGGGGGGGGGGGGGGGGGGTTCCCCGCAATCGTTTTTCACATCGGCAATTATCAGTAGTTTATTTGAAACAGAGATTTAAACGGTTTCTTTTCGATCGATTATGTTCTCTTTTTTGGTATATCGCCAGGCGTCCGTCCCTGTGTGTCAATGTCAAACACCGTGCAAGCGTAGCCGTGCGTTCATCGCGGGTACCACGGCGTCTGCGCCGGCGAGCACAAATCTGAAAAACAAAATGCTTGTGCCAGCTGCGAAATTGTTGGGGTAGAACCCAGGTTCCTGTGCTTCTGATGTATGTATTCACTTGGCCACGAGTCTTTATTTTCTCTTTAATACATGAAAATAAAGCCTGCGACTGCAGAATATCAGGTCAAACGCTCATTAACAAGACAACTAAGGATCATGGCCCAAAGGGGGGGGGGGGGGGGGCACGAGCCCAGATGCCCCCCGTAATCTACGCCTATGCTTTCAGCATGTCATGCGACAATTTTTGACCGACCAATGCGACAATGATACAAGGATGAAATACAGATCAGACAGTGCCTGCACACTGTCTTTTGTATGGTGTATTAGTTGTGTGACCGCGGTTTCATTTGACACACCTTGTAAGAAAACTGGACAGAAACAAGGCCTGTGAAAGAGATGACCGATGTCAAAAGCGCTATAGCGTGAAACATATTTTAGCTGCAGAATTTTGAGCTTAGTACATAACCAGCATCCTCGAAACAGTCTTCTTTTTTTTTCTAATACAATATTAGACTTTTGTGCATAGTGGCCTTTGTGTCTCATAACTGACATTAAGTAAGGGGGCACACATTTGCGTTCGAGCCCGATCGACTTCGTTGCAGTCGCTTGTAATCCGCTTCTAAACCCCAGAGTATACGTGGCACTCACCCCACGTTTAATTGGCTTCGTTGGCTCGTAGCGCACTCTGCGCTCCATCGCACGATGAAACGGAGTATAAAAGAAAAAACGTCAAACTTGTTCTAAACGTTTTTTTTTTGTTCTTCTAAACTGCAGCTTTACTAATTGGCAATAAAAACGTGTCTTCCCCTCAGGGAGAGACAGACACACGAAACACCCTTCTTGTCATATACCCTGGCGTCGAAAGGAGGAGTCTGGAAGAGCCAGCGTCTCGTTGGAAGATTGCCAACAGAGTTGATCGAGTATCACCGCATTTGCGTAAGCGAACGAACAAGAGATAACAAAAACAAAACACACAGAAAATAAAACGGCAGCACCCACCGATGAGATCGATGACGACGATGGGATCGTCGCCGTACTTGCGGTTCCTTCGGGACTCGGGCTTCTGCTGGTCGAGTAGGAAGGCAGCCACGTAGGGCGTGAAGATGGCCGTGTAGATGACGAGCAGCAGGATGATCCAGTCCCAGACCGCCTTAAAGGGCGAGTAGTGCAGGATGGTCCACTTGTGGGTCCGGGGCTTCTGCAGCTTGTACTCCGGCAGCACGTCGGCGCCCAGGGACAGAACCTGCGCCCAGCGTCGTCAACGTTGCCGCTGCGCGTCTCTACACTCACTCGACCTCCACCGGGCCACTTTGGCGACGTCACACTACTGCGGCACCGCCCTCCGCCTACAGGCTGGTTCACGCACTTGCGTTTGACTACGACCGTCTATGCCACAATCGGTTTTTAAGCCTCTTAGAATTCCCTACGACCGGCTGTGCTGCTGCACAGCCAGTCTTAGACAATCACAAGAGGCTTACAAACCACCTAGAGCATAGACAGTCACATGTGAACTAGCCCTTTCCGGTCTTGCGACACCACGCTGCAGCGGCACCGCCTTTCGCCTCGCCCCTTTTGTGACGTCACGTGCAGTGGCACCACTCCCCGCCCTAACCCTCTTGTGACGTCACGCTGCAGCGGCGCCACCCTGTCGTCCGAGGCATAAGCCAGGATGACGATGTTTCGTTTTTTTGCGACGTGCGGTTAATGCTAACTTCGATCACACGGGGTTTGTGGCGTGTTAGCTTCGCCCACTGGAAATGTCAATGATTACCAATCCTCATCGGCTGACTAGATAACGACGTCCGACCAAATCTATCGTCTTCCGAGTTTTTATTTGGGAAGGTTCTGGTATGGTGCTGGGCCCACAGCAAGGTCGGTATGCGAGCAAACACCAGTTGCGTTGTGCGGATTTGATCGGTTTATGTGGCGTACTGCGCGAAATGTGCAGATTTATAGCCATCTTACATGGTTTTTGAGACGCAGCATCATTGTGGCGTTTGGCGAGTTTTCTATCGTCATGATGTCTCATGATCTAGCCCCTGTGCCTTGCGAGTCGTTGAAAGTGACCAAACATGCAAAGTGATCCTAGAAAGTAACTCTGCAAGACGTCTCACACAAACTACCTGGATACGCTAAGGTTGTTTTTGTCACTTAGGCCAGGCATCGAGCATACTGATCAGGCGCTGTATACTGACCGGGCGTACCCACTGCATGGGAATTTGCCGTTTTCTAGATTACCGATTTGAGACCTTCGGGGGTGGAACACGCGCTTCCAACGGACACTCGCGCGTTTAAACCAGACTGTTCTTTGCGTTTTTTTTAACGGAAAAGCAAAAAGCAGAACACACTCCCTTTCAATTTTCTAATAAATTATTCTTCAATGAGACTGAAAGCATTTGCCCTATCCTTCCAAGCGATGCTCGCATGTACGTGTCCTTACAAACCGTCACATCTGCTAACATTTGGGTCTACGGAAGGACTTTAGTGACAAATGAAGCACTTTGAATACTTTGATAGAGGGCCGTAAAGTGCGCCGGACTATCAGTCCGGACGTCTAAACTGGCAAAAAAAAGTCCCAAACCAACTCACAACTTAAAAAAAAAGTCTGGCCTTGTAATTGTCTACATTTCAAGCAACAAGTCACATTATGAAGTCGTCGTCCAACTCTCGAAGAGAGTAACCATACATGAGATTGTTGCCAGGGCTGGAAGGAATTACGAAACGGAGCTCACCAAAGCACCTTAGTCTCGGAGAGTAGCCATTTGGATGTGGTGGACAAAAATTAAAAAAAAAAGCTCCAATCAACTATAGCTACATTTTTTTTCCTTCATAGAACACTCCTTGTAATGTTGTGAAACAAACTTAATCTTCTGTGTAACTGGCTCCGTAGATGTCTACACAACCCATCCCTCTAAACTAAAGCTCATGTTTCGACACAAGAAAACAACAAACGCCAGAGCTGAGCACAGCGTTTCAAGTGTTCAGTGTTCTAGAGGGGGTGTGTGATGAGCGATCCCGCGACCAGCCGAAGAGGACGAGGAGGAAGAAGACGAGGTGGGGGCATGCGAAGAGCGCGAGAGGGGATTCGGGCGGTTGACAAAGGACGGAGCAGACGCGACCAGGCCGGACCTCCGTCGGCGTGACCAGACGTCAAGAGGCCCGACCCACAACCCACTTCTCACGCAGTCCGGGCGCCAACCTTCAGGAGGTAGACAAGACTGCATGCGTGGCGCAGTTGAACACCCGCTGCTACTCCGTGCCACAGACGTTCTGGGCCTGACTCAAGCCTTCGGCCAACGCCCAACTGCCTCATCGCTACGTCCTTCGGCCCAGACCTTGGCGGACACCTGGTCATAGGCTGCCACCGGCGTACGGGGCCTGATTCAAGCCTTCGGCCATCGGTCAACTGCCTTGTCACTACGTCCGGACCTCGGCCCTGACGTCGTAGACCCCTGATCATCGACTACCACGGGTGCTACGCCGCAAGGACTGAAAAGTCGTGAGCGAGGGACTTTTTAGGGGACACTCAAACCTTAACATTTGTTGAAGTGGTGTAAATAGTTGTGTAAATATTCTTTTTCTATATTTCTACAGTGCAATGTGAATTATCTCATAACGCATCATCGTGTCTTCTGTCATTTCTTTACCATATCACGAACCTCACGACAGGGTGTCTTCGGTTCACCATACCGGTAGATTGTCTCCGCACTCTGAACAGAGTTACAAAAGCGAGCCCTCGTTCAACGACTGCGCGAAATTCGGAGACCTTCTTAGCGTTCACGCCAGACTTAACTGCGCAAGCTACGTCACGGTGTAGATTACACCACATCCGACTCAGCCCTTAAGCTCTATAACCCACCCTCGGACAAAGGTAATACGTTTAAGTTTACTTATTTAACACTTTTATGAAACGAAAATAGGAAACTCCACTTCAATGTACTTCGTGATTTAGCGAAGCAATGCCTCATTACACGACCTCTGCCGCTTCCGTTGATATAGATAGTCTGGCAAATAAGACGTACAGAGTGAAGGTATATCTTTATTATACTATTAGTAAACATTAACTATAAATTTAGCTGATTTTACGAGGTACATTATTTCGTTTTATATAAGTTCAAAAACATTTTACTTTCAGTGTATCGCTTCTTGCCCACTGCCTCTGGACGCCTAAAGCTGGCGGGTGCCGAACTTACCTTTAATGCAATATGAGATACGGTTAAAGGAAGAGAAATAAAGCGTGTTCCAGATCTCGAATTTTCTCGTCAGCGGCGAGAGGGTGTGATTGAACGAAGGGCAAGCTCCAGTGCAGCGTGACGTCATCAGTCCCAAAATGCAACAAACCCCACTCTTGAAACGGAAATCGTCATCGGAAGTCGAAAAGAACGAACACCACAATGGCACACACAAATGAGTGGAGGCTCGCACACACGGACCGCACAGAAGAACGCACACAAAAGGCGCGATATAGAAGCGACACCAGCAGCGGTAGCAGCGGCAAGCAGCGGCGGCAGGCAGAGTGAGGAAGCATGCAAGCAGGCACGGCGCGCCCGTGGTGTAACAAGAGACAGCAAAGAGGAAGGAAGTGTGACGTCACTCCAGCCATTTAGAGGCACAGTGACCAAGAGCGTTTCGTTATCGGAACATTGGCCGCGGCAGACTCGTCTGGTGGACTGGTGCCGGTAATAGAAAGTAGACCACAATAACAGAGTTGGGCGTCGTGGTCTGATGATACAGCTAGCGATTTATTCCGAGACTTCTCGCTGGGGCACGGCAATACAGTCATAGACTTTAAGGGGTTCGCATTCATATAGAACCATTGACAGCACGCAAGAAAAAGGGGGGGTATGTCGACTTATAAAATCGTTCGGCACTTCGCGATCATTTTTTTTTTTTTTAAATTGGTGATGATGAGCTTTGACAAGTTGCTCAGTGACAATGTTTTGTCACTTGCCACGATCGTACTCGCCTCACCAATTGCAGACATTAATAGTCCACCATTTTAGTTTCTTGAAATGAGGCTTTCCGTGAAAGATTACGTCCCGTGAATGGTCCCTGTGCTCTCGCTCCGGATCAAAGATTTTGTGGGTACATTAACGTCATTTTGAGTCGAACTAATTTTATTTTACTTATTCCTCGAACGCCCGCGTTCTGGCGACGTCGGGTGCTACGAAAAATGCCATTACGCTAGAAGAGAAGCGGTCGTCTGGAGAAGAACATGCAGGCTTATACGAATCATTGGATCCTCTGAAAGCCGCGGAAGAGGAACTTGTAACTCGAAATCACGTTAATTTGATGGAAAGATGCAAGCATTTACGTTCTTTAAAAAAAAAAAAAAAACTTTGGGTTACGTAATTTTCTTAAAAAGCAACATCGGTAAAAAAAAAAAAAGTTCTTTTTTATTTAGGATTTTGACTGTTTTTAGCTAACACAGTGTTCCTGAATTACAAGAAATAATTTTTTTTCCTCGGTATTGTGTGTAGTTTTATAAATACAACAGCTCAAGGTTTGGTTTCGGGCGTCTACGGCAAAACCGAAACTGTCTGCTGGAGGGATGGCAACACTGATCGTAATAAGTAAGGCGGCGACGTGACGTCATCGTGGTGCTGCGGGACGCGGTATAACGTGCGGAATCGACCGCAGGCTCCACCGCGACGTGACGCCAAGGGGTATTGCGCCAATGTTCCTTGACAAAAAAGCTAACCCGCTTCCCGCCCGCTAAAAAAACAGCTGGTCGCATCATTAAAATAGCTTTTAGTGGAGTGCGCGACTTCACTTTCACGTAATATTTCGGCTGTGATTATATTCCGTGCCACTAAAGCATTACCACTCATTTATTTTAGTCTCGTCTTTGACCGCAGTTTCTCTCCCTCCCTCCCTCCTTCCCTCCCTCCTTCTCCCGCAAGAAGTTTTGAACCATGCGTCTCTTTGATAGGAGAAGTTATTTTTCCAGCTGTTATCCAGTTGAAATATAAATGATAAAAGATTGTGCCCTCCCCCTCCCCCCCCCCCCCAAAAAAAAAAAAAAAGAAGATTCGGTGTTTTCTTGAGTTTTGATATAGAGAAATATGCTTAAAACCTGCTCAATTAAGTTAAATAACGGTGAAATTTGTTTCCTAATAATGAGATTAAAGGACATCCTTCGTTTTTCAGGAAAAAGCAGGGGAAGTTAAAAAAAAGAACGGTTAATGGATCGAATGAATTGTTTCTAATATAAACTACAATCAAATTCGGTAGGAATCCTTG